TTGGAACACAACTTTGTTGATCCATTATCAAAGGTGTCATTGATCAATAATTTTGATCATCATCTGGATAATATTGGAGTTAGGTGCAATTTGAATTGGCTATGAGGGCAAGTGGGAGCTGTTGGGATTTATATGCCCTGGCATAGCAAATTCCTGTTTGGATTAATTGACATATGTTCCTGACGTTTCTGAAATATTTATGTTTTATATAATTGGTGAATTCAATGTATTATATTTCGATTCACTATGAAATTGATAGTGTCCATGTAATTACAAGAAATATTTATATATATGTATGTGATGGCAATCAATGCATGATATATAAATAGTAATTATAAATTGTTCATAATCGGTAATTATGGATGGACTCATAATTAATTAAGACTTGAACTGGATCCGCGTTAGGTTGAGATATATTGCGAGAGCCGTCGTATGCAATTACTCCCTATCACCGTCATGGCATTTGACTCTTAAGCATGAGAAAAGTATAGACTCTTTTATTAATTAATAATTACTTTGATTTGTTCGGCGGATTCTTCGGGATCCTTAGACCGACACTTCGGGTAGTTATGTAATTAATAGTTAGAGGGTTATATTTTCAATATTTGCATCATTGCTACTTGTATTTATTTTGTATTGATTATGGTTGATCACAAAGTAAATTCGAAGGCATTCGTATGATTTTAGACAAAATGATTTATTATATATTTATTTATTAAATTATTATTTTTGTCGAACAAATGTTTTATTGTGATCGAGCCAGAAATAATCAAAGGTACCAAAATAAATATATTAATTAAGTAGTCGGATTGATGGCATTATTTATCCGATAACTAATTATGCATAGAGGGGTCAAAGTGCAACATTGACTTAGAGGTTATTTATTATTTAATTGGAGTTCAATTAAATTCTTTTAGTGGAGTAGAAATTAATTTATGAATTAATTCAATTGGGTCCATGGACCGGGCCAATCATTAATTCATTGTAGCCAATAAAATAATAGGCCCAATGGATTCTCACTCATAACCCAACTTGATATTGGAATCATATTAGATTTGAGACATGTGAATTAGAGATTGAGAATGATTAGTTGTTTCCTTTTCTTTACCTTTATGTTGCCTATAAATATACATGGTCTATGTATATTTTAGGGGTGATTTTGATGAGAAGAAAAAAAGGAATAAATTTTCTCTCTCTAGAAAATTAGGGTTTATGTTCTCATCTAATGGAGGCTCCCACAAGCCTAGTTTTCCAAGGTCATTCATGGAGGCATATGAGTGATTCCTAAAGGCAAAACAATTACCAAGAAGATGGAGATCCAAGGAGAATGCGTCTTGCTAAGGGATCTATAATAAGTGAGAACATTCACTTTAGAGGAGAGATCTAAGGTTTACTCAAACCTTGATGTAAGTATTCAATCTTTTAATTGAATGATACATCATGTTTTATTTTTGCATGAAACTTGTCTCTATGTAATGAATCAAGATTTATGAATTTAAATCCCTCGAAATTTTTTTAAAACTAGCACGTTTCCCAACAACAAGATAGATTATTAAAAGAAATTGTAGATACATGATTGGTAATGGGCAGAATATTAAGGTGTTCTTAGATCCATGGTGCGATGGGAAATTCTTGGGTGATTTATTAAACCGTAGAATTCTGGGAGGTCTCAGCAGAAACAAGACGATCGCTTTAAGTGAGTTCATGATTGAATGTTAGTGGGATGATTATAAATTGAGAAATGCTACACAGGAGGTTATTCAGATTTTCCATGATCACAGAATCTATGGAGGGGATGAACAAGTCAAGTGGAAGACTATTTTCAGCTTCAAGGCAGCATGGGAGGAATGTAGAAGTTCTAATCCTGAGGTTAATTGGTCTGGTCTATGCTGGAGTGGAGGGAGACCTAGGTGGTCTACTCATTCGGTTCTGGTATTGCAGAATGCTATACCTCGGCATTCTTTTCTGCAATCCAGAGGTATTTCCTTGGTTTCTAGATGCTATTTGTGCTACAGAAGTGTGGAATCATTGGATCATATGTTTTGTAGCTGTGAGTATACATGGCAAGTGTGGATGATTTTTTTTGATATTTGTGCTTGGAACTTACAAAGGGTTGATGAGGTTTAGAATTTTGCAATGATCTTTACTCTAAGGTTTCAAGGAAAAGGCAATAAATAAGCGAGGATATTATTTATTGCAGTTTTATATTTTATTTGGAAAGAAAGAAATGAGAGGTTGCATAATGATAAATTGTGTGACTCTATAGAACTAACTAAGTGTATTTTGTGGGAGGTTATGGATGTAATGGGGATTAGTCTTCAAGACATCTTGTAATCTATTTTCTTGTTTGTTTTGTCATGTTTTACTTTATTTTATTTTATATTTTTTGGTGGCCTTCTTAGGAAGGTTTTTTGTTGTGTAAGTGGGAGTATGTCCTCCCTTGCTTATTTTTTGTACGCTATTGTTGAAATTTTATAAAAAAATCTTCATTTAGATAAAAAAGAAAAGAAAAGAAGAAAAAGCCACACCCTTTTCGTCTGTTTCATCGGTATGCCTTAGCTAAGGTGGCCTCAGAGACCTGAAGCCATTCATGCATGATTCGCTTCAACTGCCAATGATTCATGTAAGGCGTGACAGATGGGCAGAAGAGCTTCTGGATGGATCTCACGGATTGTTGGATGCTTGTGGTGGTTTTGGAGATGTTTTGGTGCATATGAAGGAAGCTGTTCAAGAGCTTGTTGTTGATGGAGTTGGCGCTTGTACGATCTCAATAAAGGTGAGTAAAATGGTGTCCAAGCTAGTGATTTGCAAGTTTGAAGAGATTAGAGAGTAACACTAATTCAGCATTGTCAGACAAAGGCATTTATGGGTCTTGGAGTCCCTCTTATGTTATTCATATGAGACTAAAAGCAAAATCAAAGCAAAGTGGCTGGTCATTAGTTTCCAAGTTCACGCAGAGGAAGCTGATGCCAATGAATTAAGTGAGAAACATTGATGATGCATTGTCTGCCTTAAACATCCTGCAGAAGTCAAGTACAGACAGCAAAACTGTACCAAGTGCAAAATGTGTTGAAACAATTGGAGACATTAATGGAATCTATCCTTGAACTTGAGGAGGGGTTAGAGTGCATATTTAGGGCCATTTTGCAGAGAGAACTGGAAGAAAAAGAAAAGAAAGGTAATGTAGGGAAATAGTATATTATAAAAAATAAAAAAAGGGAAGTAAATGGACGAAAATGACTAGAGTTTAATGAAAAAAATTTAGTACCAATTTTGCATTTATTTTTATAATTGACAAAATAAAATATCATATGAGTCTTAGGGTATGTTTTTATTCTCTTTTGATCCTTCCTTTGTGCTCAAAGTGTCACTTTAATTTGAATAATATTTAGCACAATATTAAAATTTGCATATTTTATCGCTTATTACCTATATATTTGTCATTTTAATGTGAAGAATATAGTGATAAATTCATTAAGATAATTTCATTTCTTTTTCAATATGATTAAGTGCTGAGTTTTAGAGCCTTTTACATCTGTGAAGATTGGAGAGTATTGAGAAAATTAAAATATTCTAAAATATTGTAGAGCTCGTAAAGATTTGTAAAGCATATATAGAAGATTTAAAAGAGTATAGAGTTTTGTAGATTTTTAGGTATTTAAATATTGAATTCTAAAAGACTAAATTTTAACTATTGATAGTAAAACATTCGATTGAGGAGAGGATACCTATTGATAGGGAAAAATAAACCTAACCTACTTTGACCAGCCGCTCGACCTCTTCGGTGATCAACGATAATATTTCATTATTGGAGGTAACAATTTCCATGGATAAGAATGATGATAAATCTTATCAAGGATAAGATTTTCATGGGATAAGGATGATGAAATTCCCTTATCAAGAATTAGGGAAGCGACGATAAATAGGATGACGACTCGGATTGGCAGGCACCACACCGGTGCTGTCAAGGTTCATCAATCTTCTCCTTTCTTTCTTGCAGAAAAACAGTGGCGTATCGGACCGTGTGAATTTCACCCTCAACAGTTGGCGCTGTCTGTGGGAACGACGATTCCCTTGAATCAATTAATTACTCGGTTAGGTATATACGTTTGCGGTCCGGTATGGTTACCAAGGGAACACCGTCGCAGGGATCTGGTCAAAGGGTAGAGTCGGGTGAAAACCTAGACGTCCCAAACAACCAGACACGGCTTGCAGCGTTGGAACTGCAGGTCCAAACTCTGAGTCAGGGAATGGACCAGTTGATCCAGCAAAGTGCAACGCTCCTGCAACATCTTGTTGCACCGGTTCAACAAAACTTGCCACGACAAGATCTCTCAAATATAAATGGAGGTAATGGGAATCTTGAAGAGTATGATAATCATCCCTGCCAAAATGAGATCGGAGTGGAACAAAGCCAGGTGGGAAATCGACATAGAGAGGTGGTACACCTATCTCTCCCACGGAATTCTCGACCTCAGGAAGGCACAGCTTTCTGCCTTAAGGAAAAGACAAAGAAAGTTACCTATTTCGACCTGCAGATCGAGGATCTCAAGGGGAAAATGGAAGGTGTAATGTAGGCTATGAAAGGGAAAGCTCTTGTTGTCGTGAATGACCTGGTATAAAGGACCCACTTGCCGTTCAACCCCGTCGTTACGAAATGTCCACTGCCTAACAAGTTCAGGATGCCCTTATTCGAAAGCTTCGATGGGACCAAAGATCCCCTAGATCACCTAGAAACCTTTCAAGCTCTTATGCATTTACACGCCGTACCGGACGAAATTATGTGCCGAGCTTTTCCCATTACACTTAAGGGATCAACAAGAGTTTGGTTCAACAAGCTGAAGCTAGGAACCATCAACACCTTCGAAGAACTGAGTAAGCATTTTGTGAGCCACTTCATTGCAGGTCAGAGGCATAGGAGGCCAGCCACCTACCTGCTTACCGTGAAGTAGCAAGAGGGCGAGTCGATCTGGGAATACATCACCCGATTCAACACAGAGATGTTGCAGGCAGAAGAGGTAGACGACAAGGTGGCCTTGACCGCTTTCATAGGAGGATTCCAAACCTCCAGATTCTTGTTTGCCCTATCTAAAGAACCTCCCACTAGCATGGCAGAGTTGTTGATCAGAGCGCAGAAACACATGAACGCTGAAGACGTTATGAATGCACGGAAGGGAAAGGAAGGAGAAGACAAGAAGAGGTTAGCCCCTCTCACCAGGGATGAAAAGAATACCAATTATCAAAGATCATTCTTCAGCCAAAGCGATAGGACATATAGTGAGGAGGACTCAGATAAGTATACCGATTAACAATTGTCTCACAGCTGGAATTAGCCTTATCAAGTCATTCAAAATAAAGACTGGGGGCATCTCAGTTCATCCTTTCACATGTTATTTTATTTTATTTTCCAATAAAGTCACCATCACCAATAAGATGGATGACCCTCAATTTCTACGCAATAAAATATTATATTTTCAGTTCCCTACTACCTATGTGGTAATATTAAGCTCATAATAATCTATTTATCTCCTTAAAGGGCCAACTACACATTCTTCCCTTATTAAAGAAACAAGAAGCCGACTACTCATTCAATACAAAAGGGTGAGATAATTAAAGCCTCATTTATTTACTAGAGAGACGAGATGACTACTTTCCGTATTACAAGGGATAGTAAATGAGTGTCTTGTAATAAAAAGACCCGGGCTGAATGAATCCTGTAATCAATATCCCCATATTACAAGGGATAGTAAATGAGTGTCCTGTACTAAAAGGACCCGGGCTGAATGAATCCCGTAATCAATATCCCCGTACTATAAGGGATAGTAAATAAATGTCCTGTATTAAAAGGATTCGGGCTGAATGAATCCCGTAATCCATATCTCCGTACTATAAGGGATAGTAAATGAGTGTCCTATATTACCAGGACTCGGGCTGAATGAATCCCGTAATCTATATCCCCGTATTATAAGGGATAATAAATAAAAATCACTCATTAAAGGAACGAGTAAAACTCGTAAAATTTAATTCCTTTATTAAAGAAGTGACGACCTGAGTGAACCTCGTACAATTCATTCATTTACCAGGGGAAGATTACCCAATGATACTAAAAATAGTACCCAGGAGCAAAGTACCCAAGGGTACTAAAAATAGTACCCAGGGGCAGAGTACCCAAGGGTATCAAAAATAGTACCCAGGGCAGAGTACCCAGGGATACTAAAAATAGTACCCAGGGGCAGAGTACCCAAGGGTACCAAAAGTAGTATCCAGGGGTGGAGTACCCAAGGGAAGAGTACCCACGACACTATTCCGGGGGCAAAAAAAAAATTATGTACTGTTCATGTGAATAGTACCTGCGGGTACTGTTCCTAGGGCAAGAAAAGAAAAAAAGAAAAAGAAAGGAGGAGTTACTGTTCATATGAATAGTACCCGAGGGTACTGTTCCAAGGGCAAAAAAAAAAAAAAAAAAAAAAAAAATTATTATTACATTCCCAAAGTTAGACGAGCAAACTTCGGAATGGGAGGCAACTGATAGGGAAAAATAAACCTAACCTACTTTGACCAGCCGCCTGACCTCTTCGGTGATCAACGATAATATTTCATTATTGGGAATGGGGGGTAACTGATAAGAAAAAATAAACCTAACCTACTTTGACCAACCGCCCGACCTCTTCGGTGATCAATGATAATATTTCATTATTGGAGGTAACGATTTATATGGATAAGAATGATGATAAATCTTATCAAAGATAAGATTTTCATGAGATAAGGATGATGAAATTCCCTTATTAAGAATAAGGGAAGCGACGATAAATAGGACGATGACTTGGGAATAAGGTACGACGAAAAAACTATTACTAAATCCCTGCTTTCTTTTTAGACCTCCGGTAACTAACTTGATCGTCGGAGAGCTCTTGGTAGGCACTACACCGGTGCTGTCAAGGTTCATCGATCTTCTCCTTTCTTCCTTGTAGAAAAATGGTAGCGTATCGGACCGTGTGAATTTCACCCTCAACACCTATAAATAAGTGATAGTTGTATATTAACTTCTTGCCAAGTGTCTTATAAGCTTGACCATATTCAGAAGAATGCTGATTTTTAAAACGGTTTTTCTTTCAATGATTAGTTATATTCTAAATGTTCTCTTAAAAGTAAATTTGTTTGGAAAGGATAATTCTGAACAAAGGTCGATAGTCTGGGTGCCGTGATTCAGATAACTAGAATTTATGAAATTTCTAGTTCACTTAGAATGATCTTTTTTTTTTTTTTTTGAAAGTTAAATCTTTTACCCTTAGAATGATCATTGTCTATATCAAAAATATGATTTTCAATATTAAAATATATGGAATAACTGTCCCCATTATTATCCCTGAGTAAAAAAGTGTCATCAGAAATGAAATTTGAAATGTTCTTGACACTGAATAAATGATCTAACATTACTATTACTTATAGATTTTAGGTGACAATAGCATCCAATTTCTCATTCAAGCATAAACTATACATTATATTTTATACTATTATAAATTCTTAGAAATTAACTCAAATAATTAACTTACTAATATTAATACTACTCTTCTCAATTAAATTGATGAATTATATATAAGAACTAGGGGTGGCAAACGGGTGTGAATTGGGTTTGGAAAGGGTCTAATATGGGCGGGTCAATATGGGTTGTGATCCATTTTCAACCCGCTTGTAACGGGTTAAATATGAGTTTGGTCAACCCGCCAACTCGTTTTAGGGAGAAAAAATGTTATTATTTTGGATAATCTCATTATTATAGTTCTTGATTTTATATGGATAAAAACTTGTAAAAATATGTATGGATAATTATAAATCCTTCAATTTGGAAATTCTTTAAATTTATATTATTTTATTTTATGATTAGATATCCATGAAGGTAAATGTTTTTTTATTTTTATTTTTTGGTGCAGTAGATAAACCAAAAAAGAATATTGATGCAACTCTAACACGCCTTCCCATAGAATCCCTTAGGTAGGAAAGAAGAGTAGATATAATACACAATACAATATGTTGTGGATATAGCAGAATAATACTATAGTACTCCAAAGAATTTTAGAGAGAGAAGAGGATGATACGAGATAATTTTTGAAAGAGAGAGTGGGAGTGCGAGAATTGGAGATCGTGTAAGAGAATTTTAGAAATGAAAAAGAGGTGAATTTGAGTCAAATAGAAGATATGAAACTGAGTTACTTGTATAATGGGTGAAACGTGGTTTAAAATGGATGACCCATATTCAACCCGTTTAATCCTCTATAAAAATGGGTTGAATATGAGTCACCCATTTTGACCTATATTTTAAAGTGATTCACTCATATCCATTTTAAAGTGAACGAATATGAACGGGTTGGTGGTTCATGGCCCATTTTGGCATCCCTAATAAGAACATATGGATATTATCATAATTCATTTATTAAGAGATTAAAAAAAGACTTGAATTCATTAAATTAAGAGAGATTAAAAGAGACCTCAAAATAATAAAACTAAGACCTCGAAATAATAAAACAACAAAATTGATGTTGAACGTTTTGGAGGACTTTAACATTTTTAAGTTTGCAGTAAATTTTAAAATTACTTTTTTGATTTTTTTTGTTTTAATTATTGCATCATAAAATATTTGATAATACTAAATTCTAGAATTGATAGAAAAAAGGACAAATGGGTAAATATAAAAATTTATATATAAGAACAAAAAAGGTATGATGCGCCAAGAATGGTATTCTCATGTTTAAAAGTAAAAATTTCGAGGATTCGAATTTTTACAAGAGTAAAAGTAGGTTTGTGAATGTATTTTTTGCATATATATATATATATATAATATTGTGTTTGATAATATGAAATTCATATAATCAAATTGGAACAAATTAGTTTAAATTTTGATTAATTTAATTCTCATTTCCAGTTTTCAGACATCAATTTTATACTTGTAAATGCAATCTAAATATTTTGTCAAAATAAAAAAGAAAACTAAATGATATATTAATTACATATTTTTTTAAATAATAGGCCACTAAATTATAGTCCTTATGTCAACACCCGTCAGTCTCTTTGCTTCACCGAAAATTCGACCCTCTTAGAGCAACTTCATCAGTGCTCTTTTTGGCGAAACTGGACCAATTTTTGAAGATTGGATGCTCCAATGGACTATGGGAAAAGTGGGCCCCAAAGAATGACTCTTGATGGAGGTTGCCAGAAAGTAAGAGTGGGTTGGTGATTGGGCTCACTTTTTGTGGGCCCATTTTTGTTTTTTGTTTTGTTTTTTTTTGTTTTTGTTTTTATATTTTAAATTCAGGCCAGAACATTATTCCTAAGCCCAGAACACTATTCCTAAGTGCATGTTTGGCTCAAATAAAAGCTAAAATTCAGATTTTTGGCTTTGGTCTTTTTTTTTTTCCCCTTAAAATAATTGAACCAAAGAGCTGTTAAGGCACTGTTTGGCTGACACAAATAGTGCCTTAAAGGTTTTTTTAGGCAAAAAAAAGTTTTAAAAAATTGGAAAAAAGTGATTTTTTTTTTTCGTTTTTAAATTTTTTAATGTTCCTATTGACATTATAGCCATTAGAAATATAGCCGTTAGGAAAAAGTTAAAAAATAAATTTTATTTTAAATTTTAAAAATATTAAAATATTAATATTTTTGGAGAGCGAAAGTGCACCATTGGAGTACATGTGATAGCTAAAATTTAGGGACTCTAAAATGCTGACGTGACTATGGAAAATGTTTATGTGGCTATTGAAAAATGCTGATGTGGCAAATTCGAAGAGGTCTATTGGAGATGCTCTTATTCTCTCCATCCCTTCAACCACTTAAGCAAGTAAGCAACAAGGACGAATCAAGCTTCGTTCTTTACTTCCTGCATTGGCATCTTAGAATTGATTCACCACCATATGGAATCACCTTTATGGTTTTTTCTTCGTTACAAGGGAGCCTTCTTCTGTTTAGGGAATCATCTCTTGTACCTGCATCTTAGCAACCGTTACTCATACAAGATCCCCTAATCTTCATGACCCCATCTGATTAATTAGAACACAGAGACTAATCTATCGAAGATAATCATCCAAGATCTTACTCCACAAAATCTACCGCGGACTAAAAGACATTCAGGCATAGTTTGATACGCTGGAACAAAATGAAATTAATGAAGTTGGGAACGAATTTGGTTGCACATATAAAATGACATAGGAATGAAATGATAACCATTTTAAATGGTGGTGGGGATGGAAGACGATAGTAATGGTGGAAGGCGGTGATTGTGATGG